CTTGTGCAAGACTGATACTCACCTGTTGAGTCTCACATCCAACCCTTTTACATTTACCAAGCCATTGCATTCTGAGTGCAATACCACACCACACAGGCATCTGTTTAGAGTGTCTGATGTGTCGAAAGCATCAAGATGATTCAAGTTTTGAAATCAGGTCACACAGCATACCCATCAGTGTCAAGAACTGGTCTCTAACTGTTTTGTCAGTAAATTGTGATTGATTGAAACATTAGACAAAATTTTGATGAAGATTAGACTGAAAAACAATTTTGAAGCCAGAAATTGGGCCAGATATAATGAAATATAATATCCAGTCAAGATAATGGACTATACAATGATATTTTACATGCAGGAATACTGTAAATCACCTTGGAAAACCAATTTAGGACTATCTCATAGAGGGTTCCAAAAATCTTTTTTTTGGCCTACAGCCGACCTACCTACCCAACCCCCGGTCTGGCATTCAGATCCCTGAACCCCCTTGTTCACGTCCTATTGTAGATATCTCGATGTAAATGTACACTCAATTTTATAAACACAAAAAAAGACTCTGAAGGCCCCCAAGAGCCACAAAACACATGTCGACTGGAGAAAAAAATGGGAGGGATAGAGGTCCGTGGTGAGGAGAAAAGTTGTTATTAAATTTTGACGCGCCAGACTGTAATTAACGGATTACGTAACACGCGCGTCGTACCTTGGTGTCGCGAAAAACGACGTACCTCCATCCTTAGACGCGTCATTCTTCCTGGTAATATTTCGAAATTCAATACTCACCAACCTCATAATACAGGAAAGAAACAAGCTTAGGCTCTTGTCACGGTTCCAGAAATGGAGGGAAACATTGAGACTGTTTGCAAACTGTTTCAAGAGCCACATGAAGAACAACGACGATCGATGAACAAAAGCTTGTACCGAAGGAAGTCGTGGCAAGGTTCATTGCTCGAGAACTTCCCGTGCACACGTTGTCCCAAGAGTCACTTTCCGGGACAGAAGACATGGGCGATGTTGACGACTGATGTGACTCTGATGAAGATAATATGTTCTAAATTATGTACAACATGACATTATGTATAGTATTTGAAAATCTCAGGGCATATACGGTCATTTTAAGGACACTGGACTGGGGGGGAGTGAAAGAACGAATTAGCCACAATTCGAGTGGCTGTGTAATTAGTCATCAGCCGTGTTGGCTCACGGGCGGTGCGCCTCTCCACAATCCAGCCAGCGGGCATACTTAAGCTTTCATGAAGTGCATTTTTCTCGTTCCACTCCTTACTGGCGTGGTTCTTCTCCTGACTGAAGTCCAACCACTGGTTCGCAATCATTCCGTTTCTTCGCTTAATACGCAATGTGGCGTTGAGACAATGCTAGCATCCTCTCGAGTCTCGCTGGCCTCAGCTTACTTATTCCGTCCACTCGTCGTCCATGATTTTTAATTTTTGCCGTGGCTAGTGGACTACTGTACACAACCCCCATTCCTTCTCTGAGGTCTTCTCGTACATCTCTTCCCTTTCTGAATCAGCGCTCCATTTTTCTGTTGCGGGGAAAGTTTAGTCATCCAGCATAACTCGATGCGACAACACTTACACGAAAAAACTATTACCTAACTGGCGCCTGACTTCCACCATCTCCCCAACTTTGTCGCTCACGGCGCCTTTAAAGCGTCCTTCTTGCCCTCGGTTGTCGGTTTCACGGTGCTTTAGCGGACAATAATATGCATCGGTGTCTTGAAAGCCCAACGTTCTATCTCGGTTCCTGTACTTGAATTGGGATGATATTCTCCTTACGACAATCTCTATAGTATCGCAGTTGGCCCTTTGCAAGGTCGTCAAGGTCTTCAATTTAAATAACCAAGAATTGATGCACCTCACAA